GGTCACCAGAAATCAAATCAAGCCACTATGTTCAATTAATATTTGACAACGGAGGCAAGAGCATACAATGGAGTCAAGACAGATTCTTCAAGAAATGGTGTTGGGAAAATTGGACAGATACATGCAAAAAAATGAAAACCACCAACTTATACCTAACACAAAATAAACTCAAAATGGATAAAAGACTTAAATGTAAGGTGGGAAACCATAAAAATATTAGAAGAATCCATGGGCAGCAAAATATTAGACATCTCTTATAGCAATATGTTTACCAATACATCTCCTTAAACAATGAAGGGAAAATAAACAAATGGGACACCACAAAATAAAAAGCTTCTGCACAACAAAAGAATCCATCAACAAAATAACAAGAGAGCCCACTACATGGGAGGACATATTTGCCAATGATATATCCAATAGGGGCTAATCTCCAAAATTTATAGGGAACTCATACAACTTAACAAAAGACAAACAATCCAATTAAAAAGTGGGCAAAGGACCTAAATAGACACTTCTCGAGAGTGGACATATAGACAGCTGACAGACATGTGAAAGAATGCTCAAAGTCATTGATCATCTGAGAGATGCAAATTAAAACAACAATGAGGTGTCACTTCACACCTGTCAGAATGGCTACCAACAACAAATCAACAAGTGACAAGTGCTTTCGAGGATGTAAAAGGGGACCCTAGTACACTGCAGACTGGTACAGCCACTATGGAAAACAGTATGGAGTTTCCTAAAACAATTAAATATGGAACTGCCATTTGATCCAGTGATCCCACTTCTAGGAATATATCCTAAGAAATCCAGAGCACCAATCAGTAAGAATGTATGCATCCCAATGTTCATCTGGAAACAGCCTAAGTGGATAAGAAAGCTGTGGTACATTTATACCATGAATACTATCCAACAGTAAAAAAGAAGGATCTCTTACCCTTTGAGACATCATGGAGGGACCTGGAGAGTATCATACTAAGGGAAATAAGTCAGACAGAGAATGATAAGTATCACATGATCTCACTCAAATAGAATCTAATTAACAAAATAACTGATGAACATATAGGAGCCAAAGACATAGAAACATAGAACAGAGTGTGGAGTCTCAGAGGGAAGGTGGGGGAGTATGGATGGTGGGAGATAATCAACCAAAAATCATATATATATATATATATATATATATATATATATATATATATATGCATAACCCATGGACACAAGAGGGCTATATGTAATAATTTCAATAAAGATTAAAATAATTTTTAAAAAGAAGAAACTACAGGTCAGGTTATCTTTGTATGTTAGACAATAAGAATTTGGGAGCCTCCCAGTTAAGTGCCTCATTAATATTAGTATTGCCCCATTCTCCACCATTTGCAAATTCAAGGATTTTTTTAATCTAATTTCTCCAACAGGAATACTCCAACTAAATCTATACACATCTACTGTATTTGAATCCTACCAACCATGAGCACTTACAGAGCCACCTTTTATCATACTCTGTCCTCTCTGTAGGAGTGAAATCGATTTCCCCTTCGAACAAGCTCAGCAGTACTGACTATCTCTGGAGGTTTCCATTTGTCTAACTTCTACATGTTCTAATACCCAGGCTATGACTCAACATCCTTTAACCCTTCATCAATACTTAGGACCCCGCTGTGATTGCAAATGGACACTAATCACTCTTGCACCTACTCTGCAGATAAAATTGCTGTATTTGTTCAATCAGCAGTTTTGCTAGTAAATTCAGTAAAAGGAAATAAAAGCCCTTCTGCACATATTTTGAGACTGTTCATTTTGAGCTTTTTAAATGCTTTCAAACATGTCATTTTCCTACATTAACCAAGCTCAGTCCACTCAGGAGAAATGGGAACAGCAGCCTCCACCAAAATCACCCAAGAATAAATATGCATTCCAGTCGGCTTCCCTCCCCCTACTTCCTTGTGCAATGCGTACCTTTCAAACCAAGGACTCCCACTCTAGGGAAAAAGGGCCTCACTCCTTACAACCTTCAGCAATCAACTTTCTCCCTATTCAAAAGTCTCACAGGGATCTTTTGATAAAACTCAGACTTTAGGACTTCATAGGATTGTGGTAGCATTTTCAAGTGCAGGTGGGCTCCCCATACCAGTCCCAGATGCCACATCTGCTCCTTTACCAACTCCTGGCAAATGCATCCCTTCCTTATCATGCCAACAGTGCCACATGATCACACCTGCCCATCTTCCATGATGAAATTACTCGCTGAGCCCGTGCTCTTTGGGACTCTGAAACTACAATACCTATGAGGCCGCATGGGTTACTGACCTTAATCCCTCAACTCCCCAGTGTGGATTCCAAAACGTGTGTGGTTTCCAGTAACATTTGCATTAATTCTGAAAATCAATGTGTATTGGAAATTTATGTTCATGAGACATTTTTCATAAACATTTAATAGCCTAGAAACAAAGGGTCATTAATTCTCACACTATAAATGCAGTGAGGGTTTTCAGCCACTAAATTAATTCATCCAGTTGTCTATGGAGCAGTTGAAAAGATGACACACACCAATATTCTCAGAAAAACTGCAGTTAAGCTGATGAACTTGGATATGGACCAAAAATATGAGGAAAAAATGTATACAAGTGGAATATATATATATATATATACAAGTGGAATACATATATTTCACTTGTATACATACATATACAAGTATATGTATATATATTTATATATTCATATAAATATATATATATATTCAGTTAACTCTAATAGATGGTTTATTGGGAACTCTCGAAGCATTTTTCAAAAGAACCTGACAGGTTTTATTTTAATAAGACATAGTAAAGAGGAAATGGTTTAAAAGATGTTATCAATCTTTTATTTAACTAAGTACTGCCCTTCATTTTGAAGGAAATGATACAATTTCAAATCAGAACTTCCTTCTCAAGAAGTGGTATGAGAACATTAACAGAGTTAACATATAACCTTCAACAAAATTAAAGTTTACACAGTTCACTGAGAAATAAAACACATGTGGAAATTATCATGTTCATCAATGGAACTCTCCATGGTTACAAGTATATTGAAGAACAAAACACAACGAAAAGTTTACAGTTACCCTGATTTTCAAAAATCATAAATGAAATATAACTTTTCAGACTAATCCATTCAATGACCATGATCATACTAGATTTTATTTCAATTTACTGATATAAAAAATGGTTAGACAATCACATAATATCAAGAGTCTTCGACACAGTGGATTCCATTTTGTTAAGAAAAAAATAGAAAACAAGTAATCCTTAAATTTTCTTCACTCTCCATAGCATATGTCGTATAAAATTAAAGTTTTGCTTCCAAAAATATGTTTCCATGTGGTTTGTTGTGTTGTCTGGTGGTGCTATTAGGGTCAGAAGCACCAACAACATGAGAAGTTTAACCACTGACGGGTCATTTTTCATAAAATTTCCTTACAGGTCTGGAGGAAAATCTTCCGCTAGGCATTTTAGTGCTCTAGTTATTTTAAATTAAATGTGAAATAAAAGCTACAAAAAGTTGAGTTCTTGCAGTACAAAAAGTTGTGTGGCTGAAGTGGTGGGCTCCTCGGACATACATAAGCAGTCCCATAAAATAGCTGCTCAGGTAAGAAAATAGAATTTGTTTGATTACACTTAGCATACGCTCCACTCGGGCGTCCTCTATCCCTGCCAGAGCCTCTGAAGAACCTTAGAATCGATATTCCTTTCCTTCAAAGAGCATGTGTAATTCAAAGTACAAAACAGTTCTAAAGTCTTAATCCTAAGGAGAAACAAAAATTGTTAAATATATATGTATATTTTAAGGGCCAGATATAGCCACTGCCTAGGATCAAAAACTCATCGACAACACTGCCATGATGAAGAAAGAGCTGAGAGCAGATTCCTTTCTCCTTTCCTGGCACCTCTGCTGGTTGGTTGTTGCTCTACTAAAGCTTTATGAGCCTACAAAAACTTCCGATGGCATCACAATTCCTACGTCTTACATATGTCACACCTCTGGTACCCTGTACGAAATGCTTGACATGGGGAAGCAGCACATGGAGTAGATCTATTTCCTCTTCTGTCACCAAAAACCTGTTTGCTAGAGGCAGAATGTGACCTTGGTGTAGATCTTACCGTTCTTCATCACGTTGACCCTTCTCACAGAAAGCAGTTTGTTAGCAACAACAGATAGTCACCGCTATACCTCAATGTGACCAATGACATTCACTTTCCAGCTGAGAGCAAAGGAGGGAGACAGCGATGGGGGAGTGGGAAAGAGAGCTGGCTGGCTAGCCCAGAGCTGCTGGGCAGTATAGTATTGCCTGTTCTTCCTTCCTGCTGCCTGCACATTAGTCATTCCTTCCAACTTTCACTCCTGTGCTCAACATGAAAGAAAGCCCAAATCTCTTACGTAGAGCAGCTCTCCTCAATGCCTGTATCCATGTTTCTCTCCATGAGCAAGACGACATAAACACTAAGTGGTACTAAACACGGAAACTAGACTCACATTCCCAACAGGGGATGCGTGGGTCTCTAAAGATGCAGATTGAGGCCAAGTGTGGTTCATCTTTAACAGAGTGATTGCACCTGTCTGGAGATGCCTGCAAAAGCAGGGAACATAGATAATGCCCTTGCAATGAAATGACGTCATGTGGAGGTGCTATGAAGTCTTAAAAAATTATGGCCTCAAATGCCAAGCCTGAAAAAAATATACAAGGACATCCTTCAAATCTTGTTGCCTTGATTTAGAGATGTCCAGGCAGGAGGCCCAAGGATGACCACACGGTAGACTCAAACAGGATTCTACTCCAACCGTGTGAGAATTAGGTCGCAAAATGACATGTTCAGTGTATGTTCAGTGTCATCTCTAATGACTCCCAACGGAAAGAAAAACTCAGCTCAACTTCTGAGACAGCGTTAGCCATGTCATTTTGCGGCAGAGACGCGTTCTGAAGCCCAGGACACACATCATGAAAGAGCTCACAGGAACACAAGGAACAGGTTTTTAAAAAATGTTTAAAGCCTCATCATAAAGCAAACCAGTGCTCAGCAGGAGATCCAACGAGTATTATTAGCCAGCCTGCTGCCAACAGAGCCCACAATCAGGAACCAATGCTTTAGGAGTGTCGCCAGAGTTGGCACTGACTTACACCACGTGGCATTTGTGACTGCCGTCAGCTCTCTGGGGAAGGCATTCTGAAGGGGTGTCCTCTCCCAGCACCCAGGAGACTGCTTCCACATTAAAAGACTTTTGAACTAGGTGTGTATCAGGTGTCGCTGCCAAAATAAATATCTTATCGCTGAAGTTTGCCTCGGGCCTAAGATTTTAACAGCAGAAGAACAAAAATGAGAAAGCCTTACATTTTAAAAAGGTCACCTTCCTTGTTCAGGAACGGGGTTCAGTGGGAGTGATTGGCTAATTCCTGCCAGGACAAACCTGTTTGGCTGCTTCTGTAGTGGACACTTTATGGGGTGGCCAGCACCAGCCAATCCCAGGTGCGGCCTGCGGGTGAACACAGCCTGAGCAGGTTTAATTAGATCAGAGACACAAAAGGCTATTCCCTCCGTGGATAACGAGGAACACAGCTGTAAATGAGGAACACAGCTGTAAATGCCTACAATCCCAGGCTAGAAACAAAGGCGGCCAAACAGAGCCATAATTGAATGCTTCCCCTGGCCGGCCCATGACAATGATTTACTTATAACCCGGGCAGTGGCTGGTGGAGCAGGCGGGGGTAGGAGGCTCGGCCAGCTCCAGAGATGAATTACGTGGGGCCGGGGAGGAGGGAGGTAGCAAACTCTTTGTCTTGTAGCCCAAGTTTACTGGACATTTTGTTCCGCTTCACAGGCAGCAGCTGGGTTTTTGGTCTGTTGCTCCCAGAAGCTGGTCCTGGTTTCTCCAGGCTTGCATCCCAGGAGTCCCGTAAAACAAACCGCTCAGCCTCCTGGATCCCACACACAGCTCCACAGGGACAGAGGATATGGGGCTCTCTGCTGGCCACAACCCCACTCTGGCCTTAGGACAGGGCATCCTCCAAGCCCAGGGTAGGGGGCAATGGCAGGCCTTGGTACTCGGAACTTCTCTCCACCCCGGTGTGCATAAAAAGGGTGGATTTTGGAGCCAGGTCCAGCAGGGACTTAGCGTCAGGCATGTCCACAATGTGCCCCACCTCAGAAAGAAGACAGATTGCAAGAGTGGGCAAGCCATGCCCCCAACCAAAGTTTTCTTCCTACCTGCACCCTCTTCCTCCTCCTCTGTCAAGAATAACAAGCTCAAGCCACAGCTGGCTACGCCTTTCGCCAACTCTCTATTTTCCAAACGGCCCAGGAGCCCAGATGGGGCCCAGAAGGTGAAGGTAGAGGAATGGAGAGAAGGGGCAGCGGGCTGCTGGCAGCAGCTTCCTCTCACAGATCTGCATCCAGCCGGCCCATCAGTGCACCACCGCCACTCGGTCCTCCTCCTCCTCCTCCCAGCAGGGCTCAGGGGGGCGCTCGAGAGGCGGCTTAGTCCGCGCAGCGTCCTCGTCGCCGTCGCCCTCTTCCGGCTCGGCCGGGTGCAGGTGCATGGCGAGCTCCTGCAGCACCGCGGCGCGCCCGATCTGGTCGTTGCGCCGCTTCTCCATGATCAGGTCCTCCAGGCTCTGGAACTCGAGCGTGTGGCTGCGCTGGGCCGCGAGCTGGATCTGCAGGCGGTAGGGCTGCTTGCCGATGCGCAGCTCGCCGCCGATCTTGAACTCGCGCTTGCCGTAGCGGCACCAGGCGGCGAAGCTCTCCGAGTTGCGCCAGCTCAGCTCGCGCTCCTTGGCGCCCACGTGCGCCAGCGCGTTGCGCACCACGGCGGCGGGGCTGAGCGGCTTGTAGCGGTACAGCTCGTTCACCACGCGGCCGCGCCGGCCCTGGCTCGCGTCGGTCAGGAAGCTGTGGCTCACCTCCAGCCGGTGCAGGTGCACCACCTGGAAGTTGCCCACGTACACGGCCCAGTGCGGGTACTGCGCCTGGGCCACGAACTCCACCAGGTCGCCGGGCTTGCACTTGTTGAGCAGGTTCTCGGGCGTGTAGGTGCTCAGCGCGGCGGAGCCCGGCGCGAAGCTCTTCTGGTAGATGCACTCGTCGCGGTAGAACACGGAGCACTCCACCTCGTGCAGCCGGGGGTCGTAGGGCTGCGGCGGGGGCCCGTCCACATCGCCTTGGGGCGAGCCCCCGCCCTCCGGGGGACCCTGGGGCGGCGGCGGCTGCGACTCGGCGGCTTCCTCGTCGTCGTTGGAGAAGATGTAGGAGACCCCGATGCGAGGCCCGTCGTCCCGGTCCACGCCGGTCGGGTCGGCCGTGGGAACTTCCTTGTAACTTAGGTGGGTCAGCTTCTCCACCTGGTTGCCCATCACGCTGCTGCGGACACCACGGGTTCACGCCGCCGGGATGGGGGGAGAAAGCGAAACCACCACCGGGCTCATGGGCACCGGTGCCCGCGCAGGGGCTGGCACCACCTGTTGGGAGAGGAAGGCAGGGAAGCCCCAGAGAGCCCCTCCGGGGAAAGGACCGTTTGTTAAGGGGCGGGAGCGGGAGGAAGGTTCGGATCCAGCACTGGAGAAGCCATTCTACGGTGTCAGCGAGCCTCCTCCCCTCCTTCCTCCTCGTTTCGGGTCCTGGTTTCAGGAAGCCGGGCACCTCCAGCGCCGCCCCGCCCCCAGCCCTGCACCGCGCCCGGGCAAAAGTCCACGGCCTCGGCGGCTCCTCCCGCTTCCGCCTGCGCCCTAACCTGCGAGGCCCGGGCAGCGGGGGTCAGGAAGGGAAACTTTACCCCAGCGCCCCCTGGCACAGCCCCGCTGGCACCCCAGGGCTCTAACTGAACCCCAGAGACCGCCCTCGCTCCTCACGCCTCCTTCCCCGGGGAAGCGAGCGAGGAGGGCGCAGCACAGTCCAGGCAGGTGAGCCCGGGGACCGATCGGACTCACCTGGGGAGCTCCCTCCTCCGCCTCCCTCCCTCCCTCCCACCCCCCGCGTGCCCTCCAGCTCGGGTTCCCTGCGCACACTCACCCGCCAAGAGGTGGAGTCCGTGGGGTGGCTGCACCCCGAGACTTCTAGGGCGAGTTTGCAGGTGCGTGCTCCCCGGTCCCTCCTCTCCCGGCGCGGGCGGCGGCGGAGCTGGACGGCGGGGAGCGCCGCATGTCTTGCCCCCTCGGCTTCTTAGCGCCCCGGGACTTGGAGGTGGAGGGGGGGAGGGGGCAATGCCTGTTCACCCCGAACCTCCTGCTGGGGTGGCTGTGCCCCCTCCTCCGGCTCCCGGGGGAGGTGTGGCGCGAGGAGGAGGAGGAGAAGGAGAAAGAAGGCGCTCGGCCACCCGGCCGGGCGGCGGTGGCAGCTCCCGCAAGCAACAAGCGCCGCCGGAGCGGGAGGGACGGGATTGCAGATCCGGCTCCGGGCTCCCCGGGCGGGCGGGAGCGCAGCCCCTGGCGCTTAAAGAGACAGGCGCCCGCTCCCGGAACCCGGTGCTTCCAGCCGCACGGCGCGGAGCCTCCGGGATCCCCCGCCCCGGCCGGCCCACCGAGGCCGCGGGCCCCGCCCAGGCCACGCCCCCGCGCGGGGCCGCTTTAAATCCCGCCGGGGAGCTCCCGGCGCGCCCGTCCGCGTGGCTGGCGCCCTGGGAGCAGGTGCCTGGCCAGCCGCTGGGGAGCCCCGCGTGCCCTCCTGGAGCGGGGCCTGCGGTGGGCACCGCGCTGCGGGCTTGGTTCGCATTTCGTATTCTTCTGAGCTGCAGGCTTTGGAAACCGGTGGGAAGGCTGACGCCCCCTGCCAGTGCAGCGAGGAGAGAGAGAGAATAAGAGTTGACTGCTTGTTTGCTTTCACCCTTGGCCTTCTCTTTGCCAGAGTACCTGGACAGGGAGGGACCGGCCTTAGGGAGCAAACAGAGGTATTTTCTTTCCTAGGACATATTTCTGCCAATGATCACAGCGAAGATTTTTCTTTTTTTTTTTTTTTTAGTGGAACAGCTCAAGAAGTGTGCCAGTTTAGAGGTATTTCCAGAGTGAGTGCTGTGAAACTTTCGGGGAGGAAAACATTTCATAGAAAGGAATCAGTGTAAAGCGAAAGGGAGACTTCATTCCTGGCTTGCCTCCAGGACCAGCGCTGTGTTTATTAGATGTCCCTAGAAGTTGGCAAAAAGTTCCTTTCACAGCCTCCTTTGTGTCCAGCCGCTAGTTGGTCTGGTGGTGAGAGAAAGTATTCAGCTCTTTGGTGAGGGGAGAAAAGATGTAGGGATTACCTTAGTGGTTCTTAAATTAAGAACAAATGAGCAGAGGCCCCTGGTGGATATATTTCCTTCCAGCTGGTTTACAGAAGGAAGTGACGGGAGAGATTTGAAGAATGAGAGGAGTATTGCCTATTACCTCCGGAGCAAGACGACACTTCCACCCTCCCCCTTTCCTGCCCCTTGGTGTTTTGTACCTAAAATGTAGGCCACTAAAAGATTCTTTCTTTGTTTTTGAAAAAAAAAAATAATAATAATAATGGATCTGAGTGGGGTGCAGGGTTCACAATAGACAAGCTTAGGTATTCATTCACTGGACCACCCTAACTAATTGTTGGTGTAATTAAGAATGCAACTCACGACCTCCTCTACCCAGTTTTCCATCACTGCTTCTTTTGACTAAGTTTTTCCAGGTAGCACCATTATTTATTCAGTGTGTGTACCAACCAGTGGAAACAGCAATATACTAACACTGCTGGGATCCTTTTCCGTTTGGGGGCAGGGATCAATCTACTTATGTACTGTTGGGCCCGAATAATCAATATTAGCGGGGCTAGAATGGAAGTGAGGCCGTCAGCAAGTCTAAGATCACAGCATAAACAGACCCACGGAAAACCGGCCCTACCTGGTTTGACTCCGTGGATAGAGCAGAGGACTGAAGGATCCCTAGTTCAATTCTGGTCTAGGGTACCTGCCCAGGTTGCATGCTTGATTCCCAGTGGGGGGCATGCAGGAGGCAGCTGATCAATGATTCTCTCTCATCAGTGATGTTTCTATCTCTCCCTCTCTGAAATCAATAAAAATATTTTTTTCCAAAAAAAGAAAAAGAAACTTCTGTGCAGGTTAAATTTATGTAAGATCCCACAAACCTTGACTAGATGAGACCCCCTCCCCCCACCGCCTGTTGAGATAACAGTGCTCTGGGGGCTGCGGTTATCTGAACGGTATTTGTCACTATCCTGTGAGCTCATGTAGGGAGGAGTGAAGCTTGGGAAGGCAATGGCCAGGGACCCCAGGTCTGTTAGACTGGGAAGCCTTTGCTACTGTCAGCTATGTTTGGCCACTGGGTAGGCTGACTGGCGGTGAGAGAATCCCTAGGACACAGGAGTATGACAGTGTGTAGCCAGCACTCTGGGGTAAAGATCTAATAAGGACAAACACTGTGAAAAATAACATAAACAAAACCACTTCAAAATAGTCCGCGGGAGCTGTCATCCCAGAGGAACTGCCTTGCTGTCTTATCCCTCAAATCTGTGGAAGGTTAAAACTGGGTAAAGTAACCTTGGACTTGGCCTAAAAGCAACACTGTGTTCCAAATAACTTTTGTTGTTCTTTTTCTTTATGACTTAGTTAAAATCTTCTGTTTTTATATTTTTCCTTTTTAAACTTTATTGAAATACAACTCACATACATTAAATGATATCCAATTAATTTTAGTATATTCACAAAATTGTGCAAATATCACAGTAGAATTTTAGAATATTTTCATTATCACCCAAAGAAACCCCATACCCATTAGCAGTCACTCCTCATTTCTCCCACCTGCCCCAGACACCCACTACTCTACTTTGTCTCCATAGTCTTGACTATTTATATAAATGGAATCATACAATAAGACATGTCATATAAATGGAATCATACAATATGTGGTCTTTTGTGACTGGTTTCTCTGAAGGAACAGTTTTTCAAAGTTCATCCCTGTCACAGCAAATGACTATAGGGCTGAAGGCTAAAGGCATTCTTAGAACTTACCTGCCCCTATAATAATTCCTTCCTTGTATTCATGGAACTGCAGATGAGAGGTGGGGAGCTTTGGGGTTTTGAGGTGGCATGCAGGCTGCTCTGTGGAGAATGAATGAGAGGAGGAAATTCCCATTGAGAGCAGGAGAAAGGTCACACAGATGGAGCCTAGCAAACAAAGGACAAAGCCCCGGAAGGTACTTTTCCCAAGAGCAGCCACTCGGGAAAGAAGTGTTAGTTGAATTTGAATTCTCAGCTGTGCTGTGGCTTTATCCCCCCACACTTCCTCCATGACCCAGCCCAGAGTCACACCCCACACACCTCCTCGGAGAATGCACCCAATAAAACAAGTAGTGTTGAATGGCAGTTGGTGACTCACACTATTTCTGTCCAGGGCAGTGGGGAATGGTCAAGAATTGAAGTTTCTGCCCTAGAGGCAAGGGCGTGGACCCTGCAGATGTGCTAGAGATCTCATTTTTTTTTTAATATATTTTATTGATTTTTCACAGAGAGGAAGAGAGAGGGATAGAGAGCCAGAAACATCGATGAGAGAGAATCATCGATCAGCTGCTTCTTGCACACCCCCCACTGGAGATGTGCCCGCAACCAAGGTACATGCCTTTGACCGGAATCGAACCCGGAACCTTTCAGTCCGCAGGCCGACGCTCTATCCACTGAGCCAAACCGGTCCCGGCTAGAGATCTCATTTTAAATGGGTAGTTTAAGAATGTACAACCCTAGCCAGTTTGGCTCAGTGGATAGAGCCTCAGCCTGGGGACTGAAGGGTTCTGGGTTTGATTCTGGTCAAGGGCACATGCTCAGGTTGTGGGCTCCATCCCCAGTAAAGGGCGTGCAGGAGGCAGGCAATCAATGATTCTCATCATTGATGTTTCTCTCTCTCCCTTTCTCTCTGAAATCAATAAAAATGTTTTTAAAAAAGAATGTACACAATAGGTGCATCAACAGCAGAAATGTGTAATTATGCAATCTAGAACTCTACCTGTGCCATCACCACCCCTCCGCCCCCGTCCCCAAGCTTTGCCCCAGGTTCATGGCAGCAGCAGGTTGCTGAGTGGGTTTGCTGGGAATCAGGTTTCTCTATACCTCCCTTACACCAGGAAACTCCCAGACTTACTTGCATCTGTTACCCGCTGCTGAGGTTTTGCCCAGACTTTAGGAGCTGAGAGGTAGCAGGATGGAGTCTGATGGCCCAGATTGAAGTCCCGTTTGCCAAGTTCATGGCCTTGGAGCTGTCTCTTCTCCACTCCGGCCTCCTTTCCCATCTCTAACGTGGGACTGAAGCTACTTCTCTGCTCTCTGTGAATTCTCAAATGAGACCGTGTATGTGGAAGCACCTGGTAAATCCTAAAGGCAGTGTAGAGATGCCTCAAATGATTCACATACCGTGTAAGAGCCAGATGATCGTTTTAATACGAGAGCAACACCTTGGGATGGGGCTATCCTCTTACTAAATCCTACCTATCCTGGTGTTTGTGTTCTCAGATAAGAGTACAAAAGGGCAGAGATAGGAATCTTGCTGGTTTCCAATCTGCCTGATTTCAAGGCTCCTTTCTGTGCTGTGTCACGCTGCCCCGGGGCACCGGCCTGCGGGTTCAGCCAGACACCAGCCCTTCTGCGGACTGGCTGGGCCAGCGTGTCTTCCAGATGCACTGCGATCAACTTGTCCTGGTTTGCTTGGGACTATCCTGGTTTTACCACTAAAAGACCCATATCCTGGGCCAATTGGGACAGCTGGCTGCCCACCTGGTGCCTCCCTATCGAGGTCATTGCCTTCCCTAAACCAAGAGCTTCATGGACGTGGAGCTGGGGACATTGGGGGCGGGGGGTGGGGAGGAGATTTCCAGGCGAAGTTATATGCAGAGCAGCTGCTGCATAACCTGGGCCAGCCCATAAAAGAGGCCTCAACTGTTGGAAGCTGCCTTGGAATCTTCCCTCTTCTTTGTGTTCTCTTTACAGGAGGTGAGGTACCTGGGCTGATTACTCCTAGGACTTCAGATTAAGGAGCAGAGCTCAGAGGCTGCCGAGTGGCATCCTTTTCCTTGGCATCTGTATCTTACTGGCTTTTTCCCTCAAATCAGCAGGCTGTCTCAAGAAGGCTGGGCTAGTCTGCCCCGTGGGTAGGGAAGACCAGGAGATGAAAGGAAAAGGGACCCTCCCCTTGTCCCATTCCCCCTCTCCCCCATTCATTATCCTGTGGCTGAATTGTGAGGCAGCTTTCAGACTGGTCCCGGAAGAGGGCTCACCGGAGGGTAAGCACCAGGCCAGTCCCTCCTGGAGGCTGGCTGCTTTAGGAGGCCCCTGCCTCCTATGGCTGATGTTGAACCGGAGTGTGATTTGTGCTGGGGAATCTGAGCATCTCATGAAAGATGCATTTCACCAGGCAGTTCCAGGGCAGAGACCAGTTTGATTTACAGCTCAGCAAATCCAAATATTGGCACATCTGCAAATCCAAATGTAGGGATTTCAAGGGGGGGGGGGGGGGAATCTAGATTCTATGAATCTTTTTTTGTGTGTTTTGGGCAAAAAGGGGGAGAGA